ACTTTGAAGGCATAATGTAGCTACTATGTTCGTTCACTAATCTTTTATAATTAAAGCAATACATACTTACATACTTATCTATTTAATTATTATTTAATCCCACTATATATTTACCCTTTTTAGTTATTCCTTTTCTTTTTTTATTATTATTGTTACTAGTATTTTTTCCCCGTGCGATGCACGGGATCTTATTTTAAAACTGAAAAAAAAATCAAATTAATACATAATAAGAAAATATAGTACATTAAAATAGTAAAATTTAATAATGTAATATTATTCATATTTTATATAACATTTTCTTTTTAATCTTACATATTAAGATTTATAATCCAAATTAGAGAGAAAAAAATTAAAAATAAATAACTACCGAAGTACCATTAGTGTAGGATTCTTCACGACTTAGTTTTAATTATGATAATTGTAAAAAATTATAGTTATTAGAAATTAGTAGAGAAAAAATATTAAAAATAAATAATTACAGAAATATGATTAGGATTTAGAAATATGATTACGATTTCTTTAGGGTTGCTCGGCGTTTCTTTCTTTTATATATAAGATTCATTTCTCTTCATTATGTAAAGCCATGTTTCTACTCACTGATAAGACTTTATATTTTCGGAATATCGATATAAAAAATATGTGGATTTAAATTGAAAAAAATGAGATTAATATATCATTAAAAGCATAAACTGACAAATAATTTAAAACCCAAAAAAAAATTATGACCTAATCATTTGAAGCATGAAACTCTGACAGAGTTAGGGTACGAGAATAATAATACTACTAGCTAGCTAGGTTAACTAACTGCTAATTAATATTGAGGATTAGAAAGGAGATTTTATAAAGGTTTTGGTTTAATCAATATAATTAGTAAATTATTAATTATATGCACTGATTAATAATTACTCAAATGGCTGTCCACTAACCAATGTTGAACAGTGTGCGTGTGTATTATCTGGTTTTAAATTTCAATTAATTAAATTAAACCAAAATATTAATTCTTTATAGGCTAATTAGCATATACGCACAACTTATAAACACAAGTATATATATACATCAATACATACAAACCAACCCCACCAAAACCACCTGAGCCAATTATTTTCCACAGATTTAAGTGCTAGCATGTTTTTGGTGCCGTACATTCTCCAACTCATAACATATATCCATCTGTATCTACATTTTTATTTATCATTATTATTATTATTATTATTTATTTATTTAATAAATATTGGCATTAATAATTAATGTGACAATGGTAAATAATATTTATAAATAGATGCATTATAGTACTACTTTAATTAGCTTCCATAAAATGATACTTGTCCGTATGCATATTTACAATGCATCCAATACAAGTGGGGGGCAAACTTGACAACCACCTTAGCTTTAAGGAAACCCAAAACAAATTAAAGTTTTTAATATAACTCGAAATTTTGTTCTTTTATCACAATATATGTCGAATTATATATATATATATATATATATATATATATATATATATATATATATTTAAATAATTATTATATTGTTCCACATTCTTTTTTCTGAATAATGTAGTAGAGGGCTCCTATCAAATCATTAGTGATTGGGGACAAAAAAATTAAAAAAAAATAATGTATATATATATATATATATATATATATATAGAAATGGCCAAATTTATAGAATATGGTCCTCCTCTTGTTGGTCTCGAAAAGAATATATTTTTGTTTAGATTAATTAATCTTTTTTTGGTATATAAAATAATAAATTATTAAATTTAGAAGGAAATTATACATATCAATTGTCACGCTTGGCTGAAATAAAATGAGAGGGATTGGTGTTGGAAAGTGATGCTGACATGTGGCCACACGATGACCGGTCAAGCAGACAATCGGTTTGCACGTGGGACCGGTGCACGTGTGTGGATCATTGTAATTCATTTTTGTTATCACTCTAGAAGGAAATGAACAAAACAAAATCATTATTAATGTCATTAAAGAAAAATTTAGAATCGAATTAATTCTAATTAAATTACAGGTAATTTTCTTGTACAACTTACGGATGTGAAATAATATTGTATATAAGATAATCGGGACTTGGAATTTGAACGAGCAATTTTCGATCCGACAAGAAAAATGGGGAAGAAAACGCAATTGCTTGAAGATTGAGAGACAAAATTAGGGAGCTTCATTTTCAAGAGTTAATGACAAAATTATACAAATATTGCATTTTAATAATTGTTCGAAACTCACTATTAATGTTTTAATTATACTTTGATGTAGTTTGAAGAGCAGGCAATTCTTCAAAGTCCAAACCATAATATAGGGGGACTCATCATATATAATATATATATTTATATAATTATTAATTATTATTTAGTAATATTGAAGGAAAGGGCCATTTGAGGATGTAATGAGGGAGTTTGAGAGGGATGTTTTTGTTGTTGTTTCATTCAACTTTGAACATAATTAATAATTGATATAACTTTGAATCTATAAATTATTGTAATAAGACAAGTATTAACTGCAAGCGATTGGTCTATTATATTGACACGTTACTTTATTTAATTTGTAAGTGCAGTACGTAGGTAAATCTCCACTCTCGTAAAAATTATAAACGCATGCAAACCACGCGAGAGATCATATGCATACAAATTAAACTATGTGTACACTAATAACATTAAGTTATTTGTGACAAATTCGACTTAGAAAAAAACGTAAGACAAACACATTCGAACTCGGGTCATTTGATTAAACCAAATATTAAGCAACCCTCGTGTTTGTATTGAAGTCTTGTTTGACTAGAAAGTCATGTAGCCGCATATAAGATCAGAAGCTACAATTTTCAAAATTGTCATCATCTGTATATATAATGCATCCAAGCTGTATAATCAATTTGACAATTAGTTTTTATTTATTTAATGTCTTGATTTTTATTTTTTTTTGGCAATTTTGAAGAATTTAATTATAATTAAAATTAAATCCCATTAATTAATTAAGCTAAAAATATATGAATGTCTAGCTGCTCTTTGTCGACATGCTTTTGTCAAGTTTATTCTCTACCTAGCTTTTACCCTTTGGATTATCTTATATATTATTCGGACCCGACCCGACCCGACCCGCTTAGTTATGTATTACATTTGGTTGTACTAGATTGTTGATATATATATATATACAAAATTAATGATGAAACTATACTTTAGTTGTCTCACAGACAAACTTGCAAAAACAAATAACAAAATGTTACATTACATACGTAGATATATAGATAAAACCCACAGGGCCAATTGTGTCTGAAATTCTTTACAGATTAATTAAATTTTATAAACTTTATTAATATATTGGTAATTAACTAACTAATTATTAAACATTTGTTGACTTATTAATGGGCTTCAATATTTCAATTTTTATTTGAATCTTTTTAGTGTCCCAACCTGTCTTTTGTAATGCCCTCACTCGTGTGCTACTATTATTAATTAATTAATTAATTAAATTATGTTAACAACATCTAGTAGATTAGCACTATGTATTAAACTCATGGGTAATCGTATTAGCTATTATTAAGAATTAAAAATGCTTTGTTTTGGCAAGTAATTTTATTGGTGAATAAAATTGTATATATATTGACCATATTAATATATCACTATATATAAATTACTTTTACTTTTACTTTTTTCTCGATGATATAAACCCTAGGGCTATGACTAAACATAGCCACTAATTGCCTATCATCTATCACTAAACTCGGGATTAGTGGATCATCATATCATTACATCAATAATTAGTCTTAAAAGTATAACTAATCTTGATTAGATAAGTCCAAATCACATATTATATGAAGACTATATATACCACTATAACTTCAACTTATATTGGGGTTTCTACTTTCTATCTTAATACAGGTTTGCAATTCAAACTCTTTTTGATGCATTCATGTGTTGTAATGTCATGTAATAAATAGGTCGATAAAATTTTGTCACTATAATATTGTCACAGTTATTTTATCATTAATTCAATACAGTGACAAAAAAAAATAATTAAAAATTTGAAGATTGATTTTCGAAATAATATATAAATGGGTTCTAGAGTCAAGAAATTTTATTTTGAAATTTATTATACAAGTGATTTTTTTTTTTTTTTTTTTTTTTTTTGAAAATGAGAAAATAAATGGACCCTAAAATCAAAGATCCGGTTGGACTTCCTCATCATCAAGCATATTGGGCTTTTGAGCCCAAGGGGCTTTCGGTCCTTTTATATATTTTTATGGGCTTTTTCGTAAACCCAATAAATTATATTTTGATGGATATGGGCCGGAAGGTATGTAATTGTCCATTTCAATACTAATCCGAATTAAATCCATAATATAAAAAATCCAAAGCAAATTTAAAGAAAACGTGTATTCACTTCGACTCAATTCGTTTACATCCATGATGACAAATGTTGATTTTATACCCTTTGTAACAACTTACTTGTTAGGACAATAGTATGTTGCAACTATAATACGTGTAGACACGTATTATAACTACCAAAAACAAAAATAAATAACACAAGAAAATAGAAATTTATATAATTTCTGTGTAGACACGTAATATAATTCTAAATCATATGTCGTTCTTGTACATAACTCGAACGCGTTCAGACGTTTCAAAAGTGATGGATGGAAAAAGAGATGATGACATACATAAACTTGGTTGCCAATTTTGCAGAAGAGTCCAAATGATGGCTTCTTGTATGTTTTGTCATGACTCAATTTCCATCTTAATTTTTAAAATGTGAATCTCTAAAATAATGATTTTTGGTCTCCAATTTTTCTGACACTTCCCATCCACTACTGTTCATTTCTCCTCCCAATATAAAACCAACCCTTTTGGCGCTACTCTCTCTCTCTCTCTCCTCTCTCTATTCTCTCTCTACAGTCTACACCCTTTCTCTCTCACACACAAACACACACCACCTCACCTCAAAAAACCTCCATTCTTGAACCAAGGTAAGGTAACACTTAACATCATGGTTTCAGTCAACCCATATTTCAATTTTTTTTTTGGTAACTTCATCATATATGTGTGTTGTATTCATATTAGATATATTTTCCGTGTAATTTCTGATTTTTTTTTTAATTTTAATTTTTAAAACCCCATTAAGAAAAAAAAAAAAACCAGTGGAATAATCCTTAAAGATGTCTCCTTTATTACAGAGTATGTCCTGTTTTGGCGCTCTCACTTCATATATATATAATATATATATATCAAGAAAGAATCTGATTATGTGGTTCATACGCCAAGACAAGTAATGCTCTTAATTAAGTAATTAATTGTGCATTAATAATTGATTTCCCTCAATTGTTTAGTGTTTTTCAGTTATGCCACATGCATATTTCTTGGGTTGTATCTATCTATCTGGGGACAGCTATTTTGTTTTTGCATTAACTATTAAGCATGTTTAGACCTTTTTTTTTTTAAGTTTAGATTCTACCCCATCTAAATTGAAGTTAATCATGTCATTAATCACTATTACTCAACGTTAATCCTCATTTTCTTGAATTTTCTATAATGTAAATAACAGAGTACTTAAGTCAACTGTCTAGCTAGCAAGCTGTCACTCATCAAGAACAGCTGAGCTTCAAACAATCTTGTTCCCCACATGTTTGCTTCAAACTGAAAATTTAATAATTATTAATTAAAAAAATCCCAATGATTAAGCATCTATATATTGATTGATAACATGTTTTGACAAACAGCAATTAAAAGCATATTCACATTTTCAAGAAATCAATAATGGGAACCGACTCCGATTACGAGTGGGAGAAGGAAGTTGAGGAGTTTCAGAAAACGAAAGCCGGTGTAAAAGGGCTTATAGATTCCGGCATTACAAAAGTTCCGAGGTTCTTCGTTAGTAGTGCGTCCCAGAGGTTTTCGAACGTAGCTCAAACGAAGGATGAACAAATTCAAGCTCAAATTCCGGTAATTGATTTTCGAGGAATCGAGAAAGGCGGTGGGGCTCGACGGATAGAGATCGTCGAGGAGATTCGTAGAGCATCGGAAACTTGGGGGTTCTTCCAAATGGTCAACCATGGAGTGCCTATGAGTGCAATGGAAGATATTCTAGAAAGTACTAGAAGATTCCACGAGCAACCCAAGGAGGCGAAGATGGACCTCTATTCTTCGGACGGTAGGCAAAACGTGAGATTCTATACCATAAATGGACATCTCACGAAATCGGATGTAGCGAGTTGGAGGGATGCATTTGCTTGCACGTTTTTGGATGGTGTAATGGACCCCGATGTTATTCCTCCGATTTGCAGGTACATTTATTGATTGGCTAATGTGTTTTTTTTTGTTTATTGAATTTTCATTGAAGATGTTTTTCATGTGAATTTCCAAGAATAACTTAAAGCCTTGTTTGGTTGGTCGGATTAGCCATGATTAATTAAATAAGTGGACCTAATTACTTATTGGATGTTTGATTAGTCCAATAACTTTTCGGGCCGGGCCGAGCCGCAAGTATATTGTAGAAACGAGACCTACATTCTAAATTTAGTGGTTAAAAAATCTTGCATTGTTCGGTTTCTTGGAGAAAAAACGGCTCTAATGTTGCATTATGTCCCTTATAAAAAGTCCTAATTTATCGTCTGATTTGAATTGGTTCAAAAGGGAGGAAATCACTGAGTACATGAAGCACATGATAAATCTAAGGGACATTTTATCGGAGCTATTATCGGAGGCTTTAGGGCTGAGCCAAGACTTCTTGGAGAAAATGCAGTTGATGAAAAGTGAGTACTTAACATGCTTATATTATCCATCAAGCCCCGAACCAGATAAAACGTTCGGCACAGTCAAACACTCCGATCCAACAACTTTGACCGTTTTAGTACAAGATAACTGCGGCGGCCTTCAAATACACCACTGCGGAAATTGGGTCGACGTGCCTCCAATTCCAGGTGCTCTAATAGCCAACATTGGAGATCTTTTACAGGTACATTTTTATATACTCGATATGTTTATTATCAGTATATCGAACTAATTAACGAATGTTCGGTTTTTCCTTTTTTTTTGGGGGGGGGGGGGGGGGGTTTAAATTTATAACCAAAGGCAAATTTCAAAATGTGGGGCATAAAATGGGGGGGAAGTCCAACGGGACCAAGGGATCCGCGGCGTGTTTTTTTTATCCCAACGGCGAAAAAAAGGGGAAAGGGTACCGGCCCATCCAAAAACTTGTGTCCAAAAAAAAACCCCCTTTATACAGAAAAATCCCAAATTTGGAATTTTTTTCCCCCCACCCCAAAAAAAAAGTACCAAGGGGGCCTTCTTCTGCCCCTCCCAAATTTCAAAATTTGAGGCCTGGTCAAAAAAATAAAAAAGGTGCCCCTAAAACTTAATTAATTCTGCCATCAAATTATTTACAAGAATTCTGTAAATCCCTTTTTTTTTTGTGTCAGTTTAATTGTTGTGCGACAAGAAATAGAATCCCCCAATTTGTTGTTTAATCGGAAAAAGTCCATCAATTTATTTGTGTACCTACCTCTTTATTATTATTTTTTTCTCTTTAATTTTTTTCATTTTAATTTTGATATTAGTTATTTTAATATCGTTGGCCCATATCTACAAATAGTGACTTGTTTAGAGCATCTCCAAGAGGGGAATGCAAACCTATATTTTACATAATATGCACAACCAAGAGTAAAATAATCATCTCCAAAAGAGAAATGTATAATTTGTAAATTGTCTAAATTGTAACTTTGCCTTCTCAAATTTGAGAAACCAAAACTATCATTTAGCAAATCTAGAAAATATTAAAATAATGTTATATTGTACTTTATAATATATTTATTATTAAAAAATATTTTATATTATCTTACTTGCTTCTTATATTTTATAGATGTACAAAAGATAATTATTATTTTACTTAGTATGTATAATAACTAAATATTAAAAAAATTATTAATCATTTTAATTAACATAAAAAAATATTTCATAACGAATTATAAAATTTTAATATTTATTAATATATATCAATTAAGTTATTGAAATTTCTTGTATTAAATTTAAAATTAATTTTCTATACTTGTTAATTAGTATTATTAGTTATTGGTATATTAACTAAAATAAAAGTCAAATAATTTTGTAAAAGAAACAAAAATCATGAAAGATTCTAACATATAAATATATTGTTTAGAATAATACAAATTTTTATTAATATTTTATAATAATTGTGCAAAATATAAACAATGTTGTTGGAGTGCAGTGTTAAAAGTGGAATGCTAAAACACTGTTCATTGGTTATATTATAGATATAGACAACCGTTTTTAGACAAACTGTTAGAGATGGCCTAAGAACTTGGGCTACAAGAGTTGATGCATAATTTAGGGTAATGGGCCGTCATCATTTTAATAATAATAATAATAATAATAATAATAATAATACTATAACAAAGTGGGGCCCACAAGAGTGGGCAAGAATTGACTGGATACACATTTTGAGTAAAAAAAATATGAATTGTGTTGGTGCATCTGTTGGCTGTTGTTTTCAAGAACCGGTGTCCGTAATTTCGTTATCAGTTCTTGATTCTAATTTCGTTCAAGGAGTAATAAAAAGTGAAGGAAGTGATAAATCGACACGTGGTGTAAGAAGTGCACAGTAATTCCAACTGTTGGGCATTCTCTCTCTAACCAACAATCTAGAAGGTCGGAAAAACAAGCCCACATCCTTTTGTTTCACTTTGAATTCAGAATTTGTGTTCTCCATTGTTTTTAAACATTTTGCTGGGTAGGTCAAATAAATCACCTAATTAAATGCTTTGTCTTACCTTGTTTCTTAATTAATTAATTACTCTCTACAGTTCACTACACTACTGTATCTTCCTCTCTCTCTCTCTCTATATATACATTGTCTATCATCCTTCACAAATCACATCTAGTTATTGCTAATACATTACACTCTAGCAAAATCAAGAAATATATATATATATATATATATATATATATATATATATATATATATATATACTTCTTAGCACTTATAAAAAATGGTGGGGTACGATTGGGCAAAAGAGATGAAGGAATTCGACTCGACGAAAGCCGGTGTTAAGGGTCTCGCCGATGCTGCTCTCTCCGAGATCCCAAAACTCTTTATCCATTCACCTGAGTTTTTGCACAGCAATCCAATACTCAAACCCACCGATGCTGGCGACGCGCAGCTCGATCTCCCCACCATTGACTTTCAGGGTGTGGCGGAGGAGCAAGGACGGCGGCAGGTGGTGGTGGAGGAGATCCGCAAGGCGGCGCAAGAATGGGGGTTCTTCAGAATAGTGAACCACGGCATTCCATTGGAGACGATGGACGCCATGCTGGACGCTACTAAGCTATTCCACGAGCAGCCCACCGAAGAGAAGAAGCCGTTTTACTCGTCAGATAGCAGCAGGAGAGTCAAATTCAACAGCAATTTACCTGTCCTCGAAAACAACGCCGCCTGTTGGAGGGATGTTCTCAGCTGCGTTTTCCTCGACGATCAACTCGACCCTCAAGATTTGCCTTCTGCCTGCAGGTATTTAATCATATTCAATTAATTATTCATTTACAAGTAATAATAAATATTTAACAAATGCAGAAAGGAAGTGCAAGAGTATGTGAAATACATGATAGAACTGAGGGAGGTAATGGCGGAGCTGCTGTCGGAGGCACTAGGGCTTCCGAGCGACCATCTCTCGAACATAGAGTGCATGAAAAGTCAGGCACTTGCATGCAACTATTACCCAAAATGCCCTCAGCCCCACAAAACAATTGGCTCATCAAAACATTCAGACACTACTTTTCTAACACTGTTGATGCAAGACAGCATAGGGGGGCTCCAAATTCTCCACAACGATGAATGGATGGATGTGCCGGCGGCACGTGGGGCACTCATAGCAAACATAGGAGATCTGATGCAGATAATAAGCAACGACAGGTTCATAAGCGTGGAGCACAGAGTTGTGGCTCAGTCTGTGCAGAGGGTTTCGGTAGCGAGTTTCTTCACACCGAGTCTGAAAGCAATGGGGAAGCCATTTGAGCCGATAAAAGAGCTTCTCTCTCATGAAAATCCGGCACTCTACAGAGAGTTCCTATTCAGGGAATACTGCGAACATTACAAGACTAAATTCCAGGGCGTTACCTCTGCCAAGCCTCATTACAAGATCCGATGATTATATACAGTGTCTCGGATTTCTTCGATCGATCAGCTACCAGCAATAATAATAACAATAATATTTGTCGTCCTTTTTCAGCATCTTCATGTAATATTTATGTACTTGCATTTTAAGTGTTTTTTATTGATTGTGCCTTCTTTGTGAGTTAAGTTCCTTTTTCAATTGCTATCAGAGCTTGGAAATAAAGAGATATCAATTTATGTAAGCACATTTCTCGGATCAAAGATGACCAAAAAGTACCGATATATCGCCACGAATACAATAATGTTACAGCAAGACCAAAACTAGATCAAGCACAAATATTCACTCTCACTCAATAAATAGGAGAAAAATAAATATCAGACCAGTAAAAGAAGGCACAAAAATACACTAGTATTGAACACACACAGAGTCCATGTGTAGAACATATAAAAGTCGATTGCTCGAGACATAAATCGAGAATCATTGATAGGTAGATTGATAGATACCGTCAGAGATCAATTAGATATTTTGGGTTGCAAAAGCTGCATTAGCGACCATAACACATCCATCCTGTGCATGCTTCGGTTATTCTGCCCCTCGTAAAAAAAAAAGAATGTATTATAAATTTTATTAACAAATATATTAAAGCAAATAACCGATTGCGTTTAGAAATAAGGACATATGATGTTTACCTCGACCACGAAACACACCCACGTCTTATTTCCATAGGCTTCAGAAACGCCTTTCAAAATGGTCAGACCCAAGCTTCTGATAGTTTCTGCTATTTCAAGAAACATGGTGCACTCTTCACACAACATCTACATCATGCAGGACAGTTGTAGAATTTAAGGAAAATACTACGTGTTTCAGTCGGATTTCTTTTCTGAAGAAAGAAAAAAGAAAAATGAAATTTAAAAAAAATCGCCGTTACCTCAACCAGCATGTGCCCATTCATATTTATATTTTCGACTATTATTGGGTAAACTTTTTGATTATTGCCCACTTCCACAGCCCAGCTCGAACCCTGCTCAAGACAGGAAAATCTCCGCATACCTGTGTCCTTGTCGAGTAACTGAAAAAAAAAAACCGCATATTTTGTAAATAAAAAAACAAAGCACATGCGTTACAATAATGAAAACTACGATTGTCTGAATCTGGCAGGGCAACGTGTCTTGTGGCATTCAAGTAAAAATATTCAAATAAACTATGAGCCAAAGATGTACGTAAACGGTGATCATTACCTCTGATGCAGAGCATTTATGTAGTTTATCAGCATGCTTGGTAACGCTTTGCAAGAAGATCATGTGTTTAATACTCCGCTCAAGAAGCGAATCGATACTGCACTGTGCCATTCACGAAAAAATTTCAGCAACATAACGCGTTTAAAACAAATCGAAAAAAATATCAAAAAATCACCTTTGATCCATTCGGCACAAGCTCCCTTAATTCCTTAATTCGATCTTGGATCAACTGTCTATCCCTTGGCCTCGGCCTACAACTTTCACCAGGTTTAGCTCTCTTTTTACTCGTCTTAGTACTCCCTCTAGTACTGGAACTGGTTGAAGAAAAGCCCGTCATACTAATAGTATCCATACTATTGCATGGTGTTTTTTCAGCAGTCAACTCGCTTTGTGGGCCCTCCCCCTTTTGACTAACTTTGGCAACCACAGCATCAAGAAGGTGCATGTCACTATCATAGTTTGACATCAGCAGATCGCAGCTCTCCATTCCCTCGGACATGTCAGCATCCATGTGGGGCCCCTTTTTTTCTGTCTCCCAAACATGATCATATTGCTTCTGAAAAGGTGGGCCCAGTGCTTCGTACAGCTCGTAGCCAGCACGAAAACTGAAGGGCGATATCGGCATTTCACTGCAGTTAGATTGCACCGGTCGTTCTGTATTTTCGGAGGTTGAGGGAAGTGAAATCTCATTCCCAGGAAATGAGCACTGATCTCTTTCGTGTGTATAGATATTAGGTGAAAGGAATTGAGACCACAAATTGGCCTCATCCTCATGAAAGCAGCCTTTCAATTTAGGGAGGCAATCTTGAGCAGTTGAAACTGGAATTCTTGTGCATGTATCTGGCTGGTTGAAAATGCAAATGTATAAGAGATGAGAAAGGAAATAACTATGCATCGACGTGTGTGTGTGTGAGAGAGAGAGAGGCACCAAAGAAGAATTCACTGTGTTGCTTATTATTGAACTTGGAATATAGCGAGCTAAGGAATCTTGCAGCTCAGCAAAAACGTTTCTGATATGGTCGACGAGCTTCAAATCCTCAGCAATCTGAACCACCGGAGGATGCAAAATAATAGGCGTAAAAATTTAGTGTGTTGTGGGAAAAACTAACAAAAAGAAATGAAGATGGGAATCGACTAATAGGCCGGCCAACACACTTTATCTAGAGAGCCTAGTTGTACAACTCCATGTGGCATGACAGCAACAACTGCAACTGTCTGCAAAACGAGAAAACGACTATTACACATTGTTCTTCTAATTTTTAAAGGTTATATTAAACAAAAGTAAGCAGTAAATGTAATATAAAAATAAGACGAATACTCAGTTCACCTTAACGCCAGCTGAAAACTGAGTTTGCCACCCACCAGAGGATGAGGAAGAATCAGCAACATGCTGATCCGAAAATATCCACGAATGCTTTCCAGAAACTGCCACCTGTCCAACAACTCTGTCCGGCCAAAAAACAAAAATATTTTTTACTATTTAAACTATAACATATATATAAATTTGCATCTCGACATGCATATATTAACCTGGCAACACAGCAATAAAGCAATAAAGTTTTACAAAACATGCTTAATTTGTACGAGGATAAGTTTCATACCCTTCCCCAAGAGAATATACTTCATACGGCATCTTTGCCATAGCTAATCCCAAAGGATCATGTGAATAAGCACCTTCACTTGTGGTCCCCACTGTTTCAATAAACCCCTTCTTATCGAGGTAACCGTTGCCATCATAATATGCATCCTCCCAAGTAAGCATCCTGCATCAAGTTTATATTCATGAAAAACCGAACCGATTTTCTAATTCATGTAGAAATATACGATGGTTGCACATGTTAAAAAGTGTAGAAAGATAAAGGGACTCACATTCTTGCTCGATGTTTGAGCTTCCAAAAAACTGCATATTTCCAACCAGTTTTCAAACAAAGGCTCCTCAACACTTGCTGCAATCGGCTTTCCATCTTCTCCTGCTCCTAGTGAGCAAATATCCAAAACACGAACACCCCAATTCTAATTTGGAAAGAACCCCCAAAAAAATCCCTATTTCCAACCCCTCGTTCTTGGTGCGTAAATTCTAAAACCCTAGCTCCCTCTGTAAGATCCTCTTCCGGCTTGTTTCCTTCTCAACCGTCTCTTTATAAGAGGTCCCACAGTTGGCAACAACATTCTATCATCTTTCCCCATCTTCTTACCCACTCCCACACACACACAGTACTAAAACCCTAATTCCCAAATCAAACTACACACAATTTCTTGAACTAACTAAAAAATTTGCAATGCAAACCATCACACCAAACTGTGAAATCGCAATCCGCAATCCGATGCCCACCCTCAAAATAATTCACCACAATCTCTCCTTCAACAGCTAAACAATCTCACAGAAACCCTTACAACAATATTTTCTGATAACTCCCCCACTAAATTGAAAAAAAAAAAATCAAAAAATCACACCCCCACCGCAAAACAAAATTTAGCTCAATCACAAGTAAAATCCAACAAACCCAAATGATGCAATCAAGAAACGCAGTAGAAAAGGGTGGTTTCTACCGTACATCAAACGAAATTAAGCACTCCATTTTGCAGTTCCGTTGTGGTTATATACATATACGAATTTTTATTCTTATTATAACTCAACTCTAGAAACAGAAACGCGAGAACGAGAGTTCCGTTTGTTTTAACAGTAGACTGTTTCAGAAGAGTACCTTCGCCGTTCAGTAAAGAAACTCTGGAAAATAACGGCGTTTGCTGCCATTTGCGTCTAGAGAGAGAAAAAAAGCACACGAAACAGAGACTCCGGTTGAAAATTAAATCTTTTTTTTTCCTCCGCTTTCAAACTGAAAAAAGGCTGGACCTTTTTTTTATACAAAAAGAATGAGCTCAGCCCTTTTCGAATGTACAGTGCCGGCGTATGCCAGCATCACCACCAGTCCACCGTACCTTTTTCTACACTTTCGCCGCGTAATATGAAATGTCCTTTATACCCCTGTATTATTGTTTTTCTTATTTCGGAATAATGTAGTGAATATGGTAGAAAGTTTTGGTAATTATATATTTATATGAATAAACTGTAATTAAAAAACTAATTCACTCGACCCTCGCTCTCGTCGTATGGGAATATATCGCCTAACAAAATCCGTCCAACTTTATGAAATAAGCCAATAAACTGAAAGAAAGAGATACAGTTACTACAATTTACGTACGCGGATGATACATAGAGCCATGATTACAAATGGACGTATATGCATTAACAGACTAGTTACTTACGTATAAATAAATTGGACCGGAGCTTGTAATTTTATGTAATTACGGTTTTTTTTTTCCTGATTTTCCCATTAGTAAATGTACTATTAATTTATTTCCTTTTAAACAATAAGATCAAAGTGGAGGTGAGTAAAATCAAAATATATTTGTGACTACATGATGAGAAATGAGGTGGTCTCCTCCTTTGAGTACTTAGTCACACTTATATGGCAAACATCATTATTTACATTGTAATAAAATGCTTCTTATCTTCCTATCATCTACCAAAGCCCCTTTTCAAGAAAATCATTTTTACTGCTAAAAGTTGCGATACACACACACACACCTCCCATTGTTATTTGTCTCCAAACCCTAATTTATGGTTTCCAACTGTAATTTTCACTTCATTATCAGCTAACAAATTCTAAATATTAGTGGCATTTTGGAGATTAATGATTGGCAGACCAAGTTGAGGATCTATTAAAATCATTGCAAGTAGATATCTTAGCTTAACTTTTAACTAGCATGTAATTAAGGAGTGTGACTTGTTAATTAGTGTACATGGTAATTGAGTAATATATTGATACATACATTACTCCCCCTAAGTCAATTTGGGCAGGCGCAATAATTGATGTCCACTTTAATTCTTGTTCAATTGAGAGTGTGCTAAATATATATTAGTGGCAAATTATTTGACCAACAAAGGTGGCAAATATGGTTAAATATATTTAGTACAGAGTGTTCCTCGGGGGTTTCCTTTTTTCATTAGAGACAATCATACTAGTATATTTAAATCTTATATATAAAACGAAGATATTTTGAACTAAAACCTAAACCTAAACCTAGGGTTAATTTTGTAAATTAATAAATGTCTAATTTAACCATTAATTAATAAATTTATAATTTAAACACTAACTCCTATATTTAAATATACCGCATGTTTCTAATTATTTATATATATATTTTTTTATTTTTCTTCTCCACTCTAACCACCCACTAACCCCCCACTAATTCATCATGGTAGAAGTTATCACACCATGATCTCAACCTCTACCAATTTCATTCTTCTATTTAAACTCACGAGAACTCTACCAAAAATCACATTTTTTTGCCAACTTTCTTCTTCTTTCTCATTTAAAATTTGTTCTTCTTCTTCTTCGCTTATTTAATAACTGTGTTATGCCGTTTATTTATTTATTTTTGCATTTGTGTTGAACATATTGTAATTTCTTTGCCAGCAAGCATCGTTCCTATCAACAACAATTCG